TCTGTACTTTTACTACTTGAAGCTGAGAATACTTCTGTACTTTTACTGCATGAAGATGAGAATACTTCTATACTTTTACTACATGAAGATGAGAATACTTCTGTACTTTTACTGCATGAAGATGAGAATACTTTTACTTGTATTTGTACATTCTTGTATTTGTACTATCTAAGTAAAGGATCGGAGTACTGAACCATGTTATTACTTGTATTTATGTGTACACAGAATTTTGCTCTGGAATATTCTCTGTGTTGTTGTTTACAGTGTGACGTGTTTCCGGTCCGCTGCACGCAGACAGGTGAGAGTTGATGCTTCCTACGTGACGGTGCGCGTGTCTCTGTGATCAGTAGACTGGGGAACCTGCACGCGCTCTGTTGTCACCACGTTGTCCTCCAGAGGGGGCGGGAATTTCTTCTCTATATACAAGCCGCCTCCCGAGGACTTCTGACCGGCCACAGCACACGGGCCGCCAGGCTGCCGGGCACACATGTCCCGCTCACCTCTCCAGTCCCTGAGTATGAATAACGGTCTGGAGGAGGTGGAGGAGGAAGATCTGGACGACGAGGTGGACGCTTCTCACCTCAGGTTTATGAAGGACCGGAGGAGAGCCAGATCCTTGCCCGCACTCCTGGTCGGCGTCTCCGGGAGTAACGGGAGGAAGCGGGTGAAGTTCGCCGACTCCATGGGCCTGAACCTGGCCAGCGTCAAGCACTTCAGCTCGCTGGAGGAGCCGCAGATCCCGAGTAAAGTCCTGTCCCGGCACAAGAGCTTCCCACCGCAGCAGGACTTACTGAACGACCTGTGCCAGAGCTTCAAGTCCAGCCTGAACACGGACCGGCTGGTCGCCTGCTTCCCGGAGCCCCGGGACGCGGAGCAGAGAGTCCAGCGGCTCCGCGTCTGCCTGGAGAAGGTCACCATCACCCAGTTCGACGTGCGGGGACAGATCCGGGTCTCGACCAGCTGCACCGACAAAGAGGTCGGATTGAGGTACACCTTCAACGACTGGCTCTCCTACGTGGACGCGCAGGCTCTGCCCGTGGCCGCGGATCAGCCGGGCACCGCGGATCAGCGGTTCAGCTTCACCGTGTACACGCCGCCCTTCATGGACCCCAGCTCTGCCGTGCACTTCTCCGTGTACGTGCGGAGCGAAGAGGGGGAGTTCTGGGACAACAACGAGGGGAGGAACTACACCCTCCAGTACCGCTGCATGCCCGGCACCACGCCGTTTGTCAGCACCGCGTTCCACACCACCTGACCGCGCGTGAAACCTATACATCTGTGCATAACACCCATTACTCTGTGCGTAAAACCCATTAATCTGTGCGTAGAACCCATCAATCTGTGCGTAAAACCCATCAATCTGTGCGTAAAACCCATTAATCTGTGCGTAAAACCCATTAATCTGTGCGTAAAACCCATCAATCTGTGCGTAAAACCCATCAATCTGTGCGTAAAACCCATTAATCTGTGCGTAAAACCCATTAATCTGTGCGTAAAACCCATCAATGTGTGCGTAAAACCAATAAAACCTGTACATCTGTGCGTAAAAAAACTCTCCATCCGCTGTGCACGCACATGCTGTTTCCCACCTGCTGAATAAAAACTATTCTGGGTCACACGACGAGTCTTCTTGAGATCAGGGAACTTGTATTTCTTCTGAAGATCAGACTTAGTTTCCCTTCATTTGGGACTCTGAGTGATTTTTCTGTCATTCAACGGACATTTATGGATATTTGTCTGAACTTGGATCGATGGACTCATTCTTTGTTCCCTATTTAAAGAAAACGTGCCTCAGTGTCAACAACCTGCTGGACGCTTTGGACCTGACGACACCAGCGTCCCTGTCTCACTGCAAATGCAGATACTTTTCTGAATTATTCCTCCTCTCTATTGCTTTCACATTATTTCTGTACGGTTTGAAATGTGATCAATCACATAGATGATCTGAATTCATCTTTTATGGATATTACATTATTGTTGCTTAAAAATGAGCGCAGATTGTTTAAAAAGAGTAGAATTTATTTTCACCCTGTACGGACATAAATATGAATCAATGGCTGCCTGAAACTGTGGATGAATAAAGAACATTCAAATGAATCAGAACTGTTTTCTTTCTTTTTATCTTTGATGTTCAGTAAAAGAGAAACATGAAAAACGACCGGTTGGTTCTTTAAACCTTTAAAGATTCAGTTGATCTGTGTTTAACGCAAACATTCAGTCTAAATGTTTGAAGAGTTGCAGGTTTGATTCCCAGGAAAGAAAACCCGACATTTTGGAAACAAAGGAGAATATTCTCGTTATTTTGATAAATAAAATTAAAAACTCTTCTTTTGCTTTTTGATGAATGTTTGTATGTTTTACTGCACTACGTTTATCTGACAGATAGATCTATAGATATAGATCTATCTGACAGATAGATCTATAGATATAGATCCATATTCTACATTCAACATCATAAAATATCATTAAAACATCTTTCTTTGTCTTCAAACCTTCATGTCTGAGATTTTTATCACAAAAATATGTACATTTACTAAGATACAATGTGCTGATACTTTATACTCTACATCTCAGACGCCTTTATTGTATTGTTTACTGCTCAAAATATTATTGATCACCAGGAGGAAACTCATAAACTACCAGAAGAATATATAGTTATTTAAATGAGCTCCATCTTCACCATTTAATCAATACATCAATAATTACATTACAATCCCGCATTCTCACGACCGTGTCCCGCATTCTCACGACCGCGCCCCGCATTCTCACGACCGCGTCCTACATTCTCACGACCGCGTCCTACATTCTCACGACCGAGTCCTTTATTCTCACAGAATTGTCTGTCTGTTTGTCCTCCTCTCTATCTGTCCTCTTTACCTGAGGGTCAAAGTTCAGGAGACCTCTGAAAATAGTTTGTTGACAAACCTGACGACATCTGTTTAGTGTGTCAACACAGCCAGAGGCTCGAAGTGATGAAGGGATATTTCAGGTGGTGACCTGGAGGACAGGCCGTCCTTTATTCTCATGATCACATCCTTGTTCTGGATGAAGCATCCTGTGTGTGTGTTGGTCTGATGAAACAGCTATGGCTGATTGAGCAACATGATCTTTAACGCCTGACTGTGTGTATGTGTGTGTGTATGTCTGTCCTAAAACCAACAGATGGTCTATTAAAAGCAGCCACTGGTACCTCCTCCGTTGATAAGTCCAGTCTTGCTGTTAGTGTGTTTCATCGTCCACCTATGAACACACACACACACACACACACACACCCTCAGGTATCGATCCTGTGGAACGTTTACTTACTTAAACCCAGGGTTTGTGTGTGGTCGCTGGATATGTGACAAACCAAACGCAGAGCTCACGTTTAGAAAAGGAGAAATATTAAAATTGAGAATGCGTTTTGTTGTGATATGAAAGCCGATCAGCTGGAAACAATAACTGGAGCATTTTGTGTTCAGCTGGAGAAACGCTTCCAGTTCTTAAGAGTTCTTAAAGAGTTTTAGAAGTTACAGTTAATAGTGTTTCAGTATCTGTGTGTAGAACGTGTGCTGATCAGCAGAGATCTGATCCATCCACTCATTCACAGCCAAGATAACAAAGGAGTGGCTTCGGGACAACTCTGTGAATGTCCTCGAGTGGCCCAGCCAGAGCCCACACTTGAACCCGATTGAACATCTCTGGAGAGACCTGAAAATGGCTGTGCACTGACGCTCCCCATCCAACCTGATGGAACTTGAGAGGTTCTGCAAAGAAGAATGGGAGAAACTGCCCAGAAATAGGTGTGCCAAGCTTGTGGAATCATACCCAAGAAGACTTGAGGCTGTAATTGCTGCCAAAGGTGCTTCAACAAAGTATTGAGCAAAGGCTGTGAATACTTATGTACATGTTATGTTTTCGTTCTTTATTTTTAATAGATTTGCAAAAATTTGCAAAAAACAGTTTTCACTTTGTCATTATGGGTTGTTGTGTGTAGAATGTTGAGGAAAATAATGAATTTAATCCATTTTGGAATAAGGCTGTAACATAACAAAATGTGGAAAAAGTGAAGCGCTGTGAATACTTTCCGGATGCACTGTACATGGGCAGCAGACGGTCAGAAGGAGGAGAAGAAGGAGAAGGAGAGGAAGGAGAAGAAGAAAAAGAAGGAGAAGGAGGATAACTTTTAAACCCTCTGACGTGTGATATTATATATAGATATTATATATTATATGTATATTACTAGTTGTATCTGCACGTTCATACTCAAGACTTGTTCCATGTTACAGAAATAAATGAACTGCTGAATAAGAGGAGTGAATATTATAGAAGTTCTTTTATATATCAGACAATCACATCGACGACTTGTGTGTTAGAAAAGAAAAAACCACGAACAAGTTCTGATCATCACGTTCAGCTGGAGTCTTAGTTAATATAACTATACTGTATGTGTGTGCATATATATATATGCACACACATACACACACAGTTAAATTTAAATGTTATCAGGAGTTCAATCCGTCCGACAGTTTGACCAACATGATGTTCTAACTTGATTTATTTCACATATTGAGACTAAAACCTGAATAATCTGAAACATTAGAGATGAATAATTAAGACAAAGATTATTAACCATAAAAACTGAACTTTCACTTGATTTTCAATTCTCTATAAATCACTAATGTAATAACCGGAGCAGTGAAATAAGTGTTTAAAGGCATTTTCTACTAAATTATCGTGCAGATAATTAGCAGGTCAATATATTGATTCTGTCATAAATACAGACAAGAAGCAGCAGAACAACAAGTAGATTGTTCAACGATCAGAAGCTGATCGGTGCATCCAAGAACAGAACTCCAGGAGCTCCACAGCTTCACTCTGTCCTACATCTCCCACAATGCATTTCACACCTCCACCTCCTCCCAGCTGTACGAGATGGCGGCGATGACGTCAGGGCAGTGATCCGGTCTCTGATGCCACTTCCTGTTTGCTGGGGGGCGGGGGTTAGTCCTCCACCACGTTCTTCTGGGTCTCATACATCTTCCCTATTGTCACCTGCAGGAGACAACGATTCATTTTGTCTTTAGTTCACAGAACAAATGCTCAACGTCAGCGTTTTGATGGTCGCCATCTTGTTTTTTATCAGCCAGTGAACAGGAAGTGACCATATCTGGACTGAGGAGTGACGTAGAGATGCCGTATACGTCTCTGGTAGAGACCTGTC